TCCCAATGGTGCTGTGCAAGCCCGCGAGAACGGGGGGTGCTGCAGCACCCCCAGCTTTTTTGATGGGGGTGCGGGAATATGCTAAAGCACCCCCTACTTTTAGTAACCATGAGTGCACATCTTGTGATAACAATCATCTTTAGACCTTACCTAAGCGAAAACAAAATGAAAAGTAAAAAAGTTAAGTTTATTTCCCGCATGTCGGCACTGTCGAGGGAATGATTCAAGCTGCAGGCCCCCGCCCGCCCATACTGAATAAGCCTCAGTAGCCACTAAGCCACAGCGTCGGTTATATAGTCTGGTTACGGGCGCAGCCTATCTAGCCTTTACACAGTATCCATACAAGTATCAACCTCATGCCAAAAGCTGGCATGGTTACGCCCCCATCACCGCACTGTCCTTCACTACACTCGGTGCGGTAAATCGTGCATTCACGAGGAAAAAGGATTTATATGGTGTAGAAAACTATTGAAAAAAAAAAAATGTCACGCAGTGTGTACGGTACAGTTCATATACTACGTACTACGTACTACGTTGATCATTCAGTTGTGCTAGTTTCATGAGTTTTGTCATAGGCAACGGCGAAGAGTTTCTGCAAAGTATAATATTCATGAAAAGTGTGGATTCTAATCTCACTTTGGAACAGACCCCAGTCTTGCAGAGATTAAAGATAGGGCCAACAAAATATTTCTGCTTCCAGTTACCCAACCGACCCTAGTTTTTTAGGCCGTGAACCTAAAAATTGTATGTCAGTTTTAAGTTAAAAAAAATGAAAAAAAAAATGAATAAATACATTAAAAAAATCCTGATGCCTTTTCTGTCTTCACAAAACACCTCTCAACAATCATTTTGCGTCCAATATGCCTGTATTTATTTGTTTGCCTATACTTACATTTGCCTATACTTACTTACATTTTCTTTTTAGAAGAAACCTCCTTTGTTATTTAGTCCGCTTCGCGATAGCAAGTTCCGGGAATCTGATGTCGCAGTCACGGTGACGATATCGAAACACGTGCGTAATGTTCAATGTAGCGATTACTGGTTCCCGCCACTCTGCCAAAGGGCCAAAGAAGGCATGATTGAAATGCGGTAACCAGTAATCTATGCATGCCTAGCCGTGGGCACTGTTGCAGCATAGGTACAGTCGAATATGTATCATAAAAATGTCAAGAAAACTCCGATGGAGAAAGAATATTTTTTGCAAGTTTTGCAATTTAACCACAGGTAACTTGGCAAGGTTTCAAATTATAATGACGTCATCAGACCGGAAGTTACTTTAAGGAGAATTTGAAAACTATCATATTTTAAACTTAATTCTATCATTTGATCCCTCTCTTATATCTTTGTAGCCCAAATAATGATATCCATTGCAATGTTCACCTTTGGATCTCTAATGCTGTGACGTCATCAAACCGGAAGTTAGGTGTTATTAATATGTACTGTGGTGGGAACCCCCCCCCCCCAGGCCAAACCAAGTCTGTTAGGATAAGTCTGACTCCTGTTGGGGTGAAGACAATCTTCACAAACCAAGGCTCTTCCCTAGACGAGAGATCACTCAGAGCGACCCGGCTAAGGGTGCAGGTCCGTTTAGATGGAAATCTACCGCCGATTGTGAATAACTGTTAATTACCCTGTTAATTGCACAATAAACCTGTAACAAAGACACCTGAAACAGAATTGTCGGTAACCTCAAGCAACAATGATCATAATTTATTCAACAATAATCAATAAATGTACAGTAATTGGAATTAATAGGCGTAGTTGTTTTATTAACTGAGTCCTTTAACTATTGGAGAGATGAGCCAAGCCTACTGCACGCAGCAGCAATGCGCAACAGCATCCGAAATGCACAACAATGTCAGCAATGCACCGCAATGTCTACAATGCGCCCAAGCAATGTACAACCACACAGGCAATGTACAACAGCATAAACAATGTACAACAGCGCAAGCAATGCACAGTAGTACAGCCTTGTACCCGCTACGCATCGACCATGCAAGCCAGTCAGCAACGTACAGCTATACAGCCTTGTACTTGCTACACATCAGCTCTACATGCCAGCGTAACCCCAGCACAGCTCATACGACTACATTGTATATGTACAATTCTCGCATAAGCATTTCCCAAAACGCAGAGCAGAAGTAATGCAGCCATTGCTGAAGGCAACCGACATCAGTTTTGTTGCATGTGTAATAGAGTTAATAGGGAAATAAATGCTGCTAAACAATCTTACTATGCTGGTAGAATTCGTAAATTACAAAAGTTGGACCCGGGGAGGCGGCACAAGGAAGTACGTAATCTGGCTAACATCAGGAAAAACGATCTTACCATTCACATACCAGACTTGGACTCATCTGAACATGAGTCAATTGCCAACACAGTTAATAATCCTTTGGCTAGTTTCTCACAATCCCAAAATCCTCTGAATTTTCATGAACTACCAGCTTACTTACTGTCGCTTGAGCCTCCACCCCGGGTTGAACCCTGGGAAGTCTACAACAAGCTTAAAATCATCTCTGTCACTAAATCTGGTGGTCCTGATAATTTACCGGCTAGAATTATTAAGGAATTCGCGTATGAGCTGAGTATCCCTGTTACTGATATTATTAATTCTTCGTTCTCCCAGGGCATTGTTCCAGTTCAGTGGAAACAAGCGAACATTGTTCCCATTCCAAAGCAATCTCCGCCCACATTGGATAAACTTAGGCCCATCTCTTTAACCCCATTGTTAGCCAAAGTAGCTAAAGGATTTATTTGTAAATGGGTTATGAAGACAATTCAACCTAAGGTAGATAAAAGACAATTTGGTAACCAGAAAGGATTATCCATCACTCATTGCCTTGTGCCATGGATGTTTACCATCATTTAGTCACTGGTGCTAGTACTCCAAATAATATTGGTTCCCTTGTGTTAACAGATTTCACTAAAGCCTTTGACACGGTCAATCATATAATAGCTATCAAAAATCTTCTGAGTTTAGATGTGTCCCCAGCCGGCTATTGTACATTGGATTGCTAATTTTCTATGTAATCGGCAACAAAGGGTCAAGTATAAACAAACCTTCTCTGACTGGCAAACTCTCTCAAATGGTGTCCCACAGGGAACGAAATTAGGGCCGGTGATTTTTCTGACTTGTATTAATAGCGCTGCTGACCCTGTTTACAGTAAATGCTGGAAATATGTGGACGATCTTACACTTAACGAAAATAGGAATATCAATGTTACTAACAAGATGCAGGATGATTTAAACAGTTTGTGTGATTGGGCTGTAAATAATAAACTTTCCTTGAACCCTTCGAAATGTCAAGTCATGCAAATCTACTCTGGCAGGAAAGAACCCCCTGTTGCTCAGTTTTCTATTCTAGATGTTCAACTCCAACAGGTTCATAGTGCTAAATTATTAGGAGTTATTTTCCAGCATAATTGAAATGGGACATGCATATTGCTAACATAGTCAAAAAAGCCTCCAGGAAACTCTTCATGTTGAGGAAACTAAAAAAGAATGGTCTTACTAATGATGAACTAGTCACTGTGTATAGAGGTTAATCAGACACATTGAGGAATATGCAGCCCCATTATGGCATTCCGGGATTTCCCTCACTCTTTCGGATCAATTAGAAACCATCCAAAAAAGAGCATCTCGCATTATTTTAGGCCACAAATATAATCATTATGATCAAGCATTAACCACTCTGGGTCTGGAACCTTTATACATTAGAAGAACCACGCTTTGTACCAATTTTGCATTAAAATCATACAACTCAAATAATTTTAATGAATGGTTTGTCAAATCAAAAAGCTCCCATTCTATGAATCTTAGGTCCAAAAGAAGTCTTCATGAAGTAACATGTAAAACTACTCTTCTCAAAAACAGTCCAGTTCCATATTTCAACAGACTTGTCCATGATGCTCTCAGTGCATTCCCATCGTCCTCATAATTTAATATATTTATTTGTTTTAGAATTTGTAACTGGATTAGTGTGGTTTTTGCTGTGCAATATTTTTGCCTTGTAGATATGACAATACCTTGCTGATTTTTTTAAGGCTGTTTTATTTATACATAGATGTTTTATGTGGTTCATACTGTTTATTCTTAACCCGTATTTATTTGTGTATATTTTTAATGTAAACTGTCTTGTAATTCAGCCGACAGGCTGCAATGAGCAGATTTTTTAATAAACCATAATAATAATAAAAATTGCTCGCTTGCTGTCCGCAACACCAACTCCTATGGCGCTTGGCTAACCCAATTGCATACATGCAGCAACTCACGGAGCTCCTAAGCTCCGCCCAGTCACTAACACACAGTGGATTAAGCCTTAGTGCTATGTGTATGACGTCATAAATAAACTGGCTCTACACTCACACTTTCCGTCACAATACACTTATATTTTCCATATTTTCAAACGTTATTTCAACTTCACAATGAACATTTATCCTCTCCGAACTAAATCAGTATTCACTTCACGTTTGTGACTGATGAGGTCATCAAACCAGAAATAACTTGCACGTGTACATAAAATGTTTAATGAAATTTATTACGCCATTTAAGATGAATTTTTTTAACAAAATAATTGATTGTACTGGGAAGGATTAAATTTCGTGATTTTTTTTTTATGATATAAACATATTCATAACTTAACTGGCCAGTGTTTAATGAAATAGTTGTCTGCCCGACCGCTCTGCGTTTGTAACTAAACAAGCGCAAACCTCTAGTTATTAGATGGTGTTCAAATATCAGTGACTCAAATTGACTCAAGCATAAATTTGACTTGGCTCAACTCGACTTGACCACACACTGTGACTCGACTTGACTCAACTCGACCTTCTTGATCTGAACTGACTTGACTCAAGTCACTTCCTTAAAATGATTCAACTCGAGTCCCACAAATTTGGCGACTCGTTACACTCGCTCTTTACTGCCATCAATTGTTGTTCAGTCTCCTGTTTTCTTGTTCCTTTTTCATCCCTTTTTTGTACTCTCAATTGTGTTGTTTCAGCTTTTAATCCTGTTTTCCGTGTACTGGATGTTATGACTGGCAAATCTAGTCTGTTTACTGGTCAGTACAATATGAAAGTGATTGGTGGAAGTGCTGAGGGTCCAGGCAGCATTGAATATTTCAATGGTGAACAGCTTCAACAGTTTAACCTGCAAAATGGGTAAATCAAGAGTCACAATTTTGCTGCCCCTCACCCAAACAAGTGCAGGGAGCAAGTTGTTCTCTGTGCAATACCTAAATGTAGCCGATACCTAAATGTAGCCCGGACCTAAATATAGTCCCAACCCCGCACATCAGCCTGAGCCCTAAATGTATGTAGCCCCGACCTTAATGTAGCCAGTTCATTCATGTGCATATGCGTGCATTCATTCATTCAAGCAATCTATAGTATAAATGGCTGGCGCCCTTGGGGGACTTATGCGTACTAGCTAGCAGAATCAACCCATTTTTCTGTGAGGGGAATTTTCAAGTTATAGCTGTTAACATATTTACATTTTACTTTCCAACTATTATCCAACTGCTATTTAATGATGAATGCATGTATTTTTGATCCCAAAAATTTTGTGGCAATTATTGTTATTGGAAAATAAATGAGCGTGGAATTCATATTTAAATGGTGCTGGTTGTTGCACTCAACATTGTTTGCTACTGAAGCATATTGGAGATAATTATAACAGGCACATTTATCCCCCAGGTAACGTCTATCTTCAAACCCTGTAAATATGTTCAAATTTGCTGTTATCTTCATTTAACATGTCACATATATTCTCAGTTGACAATTGCCTCATTTCAGTTTTAATAAATATTGAATATGTCTTTTGCAGATTGGGTCCAACAATTTGGAAGCCAGAGGATTCAAATGGTCATAGTAATGGATCAGTGCCAATTTTCCAACATGATTGCAGTGGGATAGTGTGGCGTTGTGAGCAGGGGTCACCCTGTGCCAGTGTACCCATGCACTTCCCTTGGCCACCGGAATATTACTTTGTCATAGAGGTCACAAACAGGTAGAGTTTATAATCATATATGACACAAACAAATCTAAGATTTCGAGAGACAATTTTGTTGACATTTACACCACACTCTGGTTATGGATGAGAAACAGACCATACAATTTATGCACAAACATGTTCAATGTTAAATATTTTTCTCATTATGCTTCAGAATTTATTGGTCATCATTTCAACACAGTTGAATTCATAAGTAATATTGTTATATCGTGTGCTTGGATACTGTAATTTCATTGGTCTAGAACGGCCACGTGTCTGATCTATAAGAACACATGTCACACACAGAGGGTGATATTGCACTGCATTTTTTATGCACCCATGTGGAACCTGCCGGCACGGTAGCTTTGCGCAATGAGAACTGCAACGTCAAATGCTTAGGACTTTACGGTCCGGCAGGACATCAAAACCTTCAGTTATCAAAGGTTACATCGCAGTGATTAAAAAATATTTTCAAACAGTAAGTTACAACCATTTGTCTTTTTATGGGCACGACAATTGTTGACTGCTGTAATGTGGAATATGTCGTTTTTAACCCCCACGGGGTAAATAGCACCCTCGGCGAAAATGCGCCCCTTGTTGTTCAAAATTGAAGTGACGTCATGATTACATCATCACATGACATGTGATGTTACATTAAAGGTGCATTTTTCTGCGGCGTACATCTACAGAACTATTGGTCCTGATCACTCTGCATTTTTCCACTGCACATGTATGTATGTCCTATCAGTTTATAACATGACATAAAAATGCAATAACAAAATGCCGAAACAGCCTTGTGTTTGTCCACAAACATAAGTCTAATTAATTTAATTGAATTTATATGTATATGATTGCACCTCTGCATCCCCATGTGATCCAAGATATTGCCTGCTGCACCTATCAAGGCCTGCCCTCCCAGTTTTGTTTTTCATTTGCCTGGTTACCTTTTGCCCTTTAAGTTTTTGCTATGCTGTCTTTTCGGTTGTTTTGTTACTCTCAGGTCTGACGAAGGGAAGTATTACTCCTCAAAACACAGCAGTACACAATGTTCTCATTATGGTGTCCTTCCCTTTTATGCTATGTATATGTATCCAATGAAATCGTCTTCTATCACAATTCACAGTGCTCGATACATCTCTGTAGAGCTATAATCATGCAGTAAATTCAGAATATGAGCTAATCGAACTTTGGCATATTTCTCTTCTGGACAGACTATTTCGTACCATAAGGCATTCATCAGCAGAATGACAAAATATAGAATACAAGTAGCATCTTACCTTTTTTCGAACCAAGTGCGCGCATGTGTTGCGCGCGTTACGTCATTATAGTTAGTACGTGTTTACGTCACTGAAGTAAGAACACACCTGTCTCGATGCCTGCACTTGGAGACGATTTCGCTTCTCTTATTTAGTGTACCTAGATCTGGCCTACATATGATTATGTACTTCTCTGCTATAGAGAAATAGTACAGTTCATGAAATGTACAGGCCTACATGTAGATGTTCAACATTTGATTATATTACAAAGTTCTGTTTTCTTTACAGACAGGTAGACTTGTACTCAACATATTGCGAATTTTCTACAGAGTTCACAATCAAAGTCCATGGACTGGAGCTCAGTAAATATGATCTTATGGCCATTGTAGGGGTAAGCTATCAAATCAGACTATAAAGGGAAGCATCATAAATTGCGACTCGCTTTCATGAAAAGAGCAAGATCATATTACTCCATTCTGGTCAGGGCAACTATGGTATCCAATACAACCAACCTGCTAATTCATATGCCACTAGTTCTTCCCCCTCGTTTGACATGCTGTTTCCAACCTGGCTTGAACTTCATTCATCTGGTACTGATGGGTTTTTGTTTTGGGAAAATAGAATGGTCCGTGGATATCCGCGGTCAGCTAGTTTCACTACACAACTTACAGCAGTCAATATTTTCACTATACACCATGTACTTCTGTATTGTGCTATATTCACATTATTGAATGTATTTGTGGTATTTAAATGTTGTGTGATATCTAAAAGGCCTTTGATAATGTGGAAATAGCACATTAAAAAACTTGTCTTCATCACTGTTGTTGCCAGTTATCTCCATTGACTAGCTGTGATTTATGGTTGAATCGGTCCAAAATCGCCTATGCCGGCCAAATCACGATTTGCATGCCCTCAAATTTGTTGTTATTTGAGCATATTGTGGGCCATGAACTTGAGGGTTTGTAAAAAATATGGGTGGAGCCGTGCACAGGACTGTGAGCTTGTAGTTCTGTGCAATTTGGATGAAATTGAGCCCTAAAAGCGCTCTATTTAGCAATGGAGTGTAGGCGTCGTTTTTCAAAATGGCGATGGGCTTCAGAACCGTTTTAAGGGGTGATCATCTTCGGATGGAAATTTATCCTAAAAATCAGTTAACCCCCCAAAAATTGAAAAGAAAATGAAAGATGACAAAATTAGCTTTAATTTGATGTGTGTCTCGAATACCTTGGAGAGTTGTGAGTATTTTTCCTGAATTTTTGAAGTGGGGGCATTTATCATTGGGGTCTATGACAGTTTATTTACTGGTCTGCAACCATATACTTGAGTTGACTCATGGCCTACATGTATGTCATGATGTGAAACAGTGTTACTGGAAAGTGACAACATGAAATTAAAAACAGCAAGTGCATGTGTGACACATGCCTTTATCGTCAAGCAAACTTGAATCCTCAATCCTGATTGGTCGATCAATGGCAACAACAGTGTGGTTTTATCCCGTGTGTCACGTCCATATCAAAATCCGCGAATCTAAGATGCCTGTGCTATTCCTACTGCACGCACATGTAATAGGATGAATGAAGAAATTTTGTGAACAGCGTGCATTTTCCATTCAAGTTGGCTTCAAGATAAATTTGTTTCCAATGCTTGTGGAACACGGAAAATGCATTGCATTTGGAACACGTACTGTCAAGTACTACATTTAACAAGTGTTATCTTTGTGATGTGGGATATGGCGTTTTTAACAGATTGTGCGCATAGCACCCAAGGCTTTGCCTGGGGTATTACTACTTCAGAATGTCCAATTGCCAGATCACGGGTGCATTGGTTATTAAAGGCTTATTCACTCTTCATTTCACGTCAGGAGGCAATAACACCAGCCATTGTCTCAGGACTTTTGAACTACTTTCCCCTCAAACTAGTTGTAGTGTTACTCCTTCCTTGCTGCTGCTGCCCTTTTTTTTGCATTGTCAGTCATCTTAATATTGACCCTGAACCCTACAAGAAATGGTAGTTTACAAAATATTGAGTGCTTTGAGTGGTGTAGTAAAAGTAGCATCCTGAGGTAAATATAGAGTTTCTCTGTAGATCACTCTGTGGTGACTGCTTTTATTGGTACCATGTACAGCCAATCTTTTTAAAGAGATCATTGATTAATTAAACTTAAATTCAATACAAACATACTTCTGTTTCAATTTGAAATTACTTATTGTACCTTTCCAAACTGCCCCTTAATGAAATTAAGCACACAATTCCTTATGCATGTGTTTATGAGGACCACAAATAGTTCCTTGGTTGCTATGCGCATAATACTTTTTACAATAAGGCTGTCGTGGTATAGGCTTTTTGATCATTCTTATTGAAAAAGTGAAAGTAACGAATGCAACGTAATGCACTATGGGGCAGTCAAGAGACAGAATCTGTGGGCGAGGTGTTGTAATATTTGCTATTTGCTCCTGATTGTTCTAACAGTGGTCTTTGGTGTTCTCATTGGTCTTCATCACTATTTTTGTCACCTGCCATCAACACAAGAGTGGAGATACCAAGACCCATCGACAAAAGAGGAAGACAAGCCGTGTTGTTCCCATGCCAACTATCACGGAAGTAGACATTTCAGGTATGGGCAAGCCATCAATTCAGTCTTCAACCTCTGCTATTCATCACTATTTTACAAGATTATACATGTTATTTAACTTTCAAATATTTATCAACTTTTAGGACATGATTTGATAGGAGTAACATGTTCAAAATCTTGGTCATTTTTGTTCTTCAAACAAACTACAGAGGGAATTTTCAATAACCCACAAAAGAAACTGTTCTATTTGTTTGCATAAACAAATGTTGTTTTCAATTTGTTTGCACTGACACTAAGTAACGGCTATATATGGGCAACCAAGCTGCTGCGCAGATTTTATGCAGAATGCAGATGGCTCTATCCGGTTCGTTAGTAGAACGTCATACACGCTTGCGTACCACTGATTGCTAGCGTCCAATGGATAAACGCTCGAGTTGTGTTAATTTCCAATTCTATTCATGCTGTACACCTTGTGAAGCACTCATGGATGAAAAAAAAACCTATGTCTGGGCTAACCGTCTCTTTTGTCGCTCCTCTACCAGACTGGGCGAGCAGCAGTCCAGCCGGTACTGTATGGGGTGGTCCGTTAGGAGACCATATATCGCCGTGCTTAACAACCACACCGGGGCAAATGGTTAGGGACGACAAATTGATACCAACTCACAAAAGGGAGAAGGACACCAAGTTACTTCTACAGTGTTGGGTCACACAACGACCCCTTTTATTTCCCACACTGACACCTTGTGGGAGAGTTATCCTAAGGGATGGTAACCGTGACTTCTTCAGTTAGAGGGGAATCCAAAATCACTAAGGGGTTCCTTAAGGCAAGTTCTTAGGCTCACTTAAGGTAGGTTCCAGGCGAGGCAAGGGGAATCCTTAAGGGAATCCTGAGCAACCAAATTAGATTATAAGTTTATTATCACAATTTAGGCAGTGATCCCAAAGACTAAATGTTTTCAAGTGCTCTAAATTCCTATCGACAGTTCTTAAATCCTAACTTCCCAGAACTTGCGTCTAGAGAATTTATTACCCCCAAATGTTCCAATTAACCAACAGACCCAAACTTTGGGCCCCGATTATTACCACGAGAATCTCCTCACAACGCTACTGCATGTGAACGGCACAGCACGCTACGCAAAGCTAACACGATGCTAACTCTCCGGCTCGCTGGCGGCAACTGGCCAAAATTAAATGCGCCTAGCGCACAAGCACGCCCTCTCTCAATCCAACATGCACGCAAAAGTATGGAGGGCAAAACGTACAAAAAATAACAGAGCACCAAACTGCATTTTGCTACACAGCCCTCTCTTACATTCAGGCCAACAATAAAGAATGCAGGTTTAGATAGAAATGAATCTTAATTGCCTTAAAATAACTCAAGATTAAGTGATTATCCTCAATTATTCAAGGTTCAGCCTTAAGGGCAAACATCAAGATATTTACACAATTAGATCTTACATTTATTATAACATATTTCTTTCCATGATTAAAACGTTTATACAGGAAAAAAGGTAACTTATGTAACCGGTGAAATATTGAAGCATATTTCAACCATATATTTGTTGGCACCTTTACTTTTCCTATCTCTTTTGAAAGTTTTATTAATGTTTTGTATCCCATTAGTCGGTATGTGGAATTGCTTTTTTCACAAGTTTGGGATTGTTTTCATGTTTCCTTATCACCTCTTTAGCAATGAATGTTTATTCATAATCCCTATGTGGTCTGCCCAGTAGTGTGAGGCACTGGCCAACATCCTGTGGTCTAGATAAGCTTTGTTCAGTTTGTGTGTTAGCCACCCACAAGAGCACACACATGTTGTAAAGTCTTTTGATTTAGAGAAAGTTTTACAGCGCTGGCTGCGCTTTGCTGCCATGGGGCCACTGACGAGGAATAAAAACAGTATATTTTCCGTCTAAACTTGAAGATCCTGTGTTCCCCCAGTCACACTTACAATAACGCTGTTCTATATTTGAATAACAGAATTTACTTGCTTCTTAATCTTTGGAGTCTACCTTCAAGACAACTTAAAGCAAACGCATTACACTTAAGGAAAACAAAACTATAAACAATCTTCCTATAGACAAACACACTGGTACTGTAGTAAACTTTGCTAAGCCACTGTTCAAGTAAAGAACTGTAACAATATAAAACAAGCAGTCTTTGGAAGTGCCATGGTACATCCTTCAAGTAGGAATCTGCTCAACAACCTCCTCGGAGACCTTTACACTGTTCTGGAAATAGCTCTTGGTGTGTTTCTCGGTTACGCGCCAAAGTTTATCTTCCGCATGAGCTGCTCTATATTGCTGACATTGGCGGGTACTGCACACCATATGTCTTGGTCACGTTGACACAGCCTGAACACTCTAGCTCTTTGGGGTGGATTAGCAGCAGTCGACGCGGGGTAAGTATAGGTACTACTCTGCTTGTGCGTTGCACTTTACTTGATGGTACTTCCCTTGAGGGCTTTTCCCAGGTTCACTTGCAATGAGGGGGTTTCATCAGATGGTCCCCTTGAGTGTGCTACCTGGACATCGGCTTCTCCCTCTAGGCTTTCATCTTCACTCGCCTGTTGGGGATCAATGGTCATCGCCGCAGCATTTTCACTGGTTAACCTCTGGGTCGCGGTTCCAAGGTGCAGCTGACTCACTAAGGCACTGCTTGACCAGTGTAATAGAGCCAGGAGAGAGTGATAGCACAGGCGCATCCTCTGACATGTCCCGTCCAAAAGTACGAGGGGTTGTTATCCCCTGAGGTTCCTCGTCTAAGGGGGGGGGGGGGGGATCTCCACGTCTTCCTTCTCCTTCGTCTCCTTCGCCTTCGACTTCTTCCCTTGGGGGGCTTGCTTCTCTGTGCTTCAGACAGCGGACGCTTTACAGGACCCTCCTGTGGACAGTCGATATCCATCGGCTATCTTTGTCTTCCTGCTCTTGAACTTCTTGTGACGCTTGTGCTCCTCCTCAGTTTCTGGGAAGATTCCCGCCATGTCATCTGGGGACTTAGGATAGTGGCTGATGTAGTGGACTCTCAAGTTGTCTTTCCTGGTGTAATTTCTGTCACACTGCATGCAAAAGAACAAAATCTGCTTCGTGCCATGGCTCCCTTGCTGTTTCCTCTTGTTCAGGAATGTGTCATCACACTCGGTGCATATATATACCTTCACTGTGTCCCAATCCTTGGGTCAGTTCCAAGATTTTCCTCTTCGCCCTTCCATATTGGTGTCCTCCAGATCCTTAATCCTGGAGAAGAAAAAGAGTAAAAGAAAAAAAAAACAAGGCAAATCGTAGGTCCATCTTCTTCAGTTTCCGCAATCAATTCCCTTACCCATATAGCTTACAGGTACTGCTGAGGCCGTCGTCACCGGCGCAAAGGATTTCTCCTCTGGAGTTTGGGGTCAGGTAAGTTATGTTCAGGTCCAGGGTCAGGTAAGTGGTATTCAGGAGCTGAATCATTTGGTTGGTCAAGCTGAGACATTCCTCGGGTCACTGCATGTTCACTTCCCACATCACTTCCCTGCAGATCATCGTCATTCGTGCAGTGACGACCTCCGGTTTCCACCCCAGCTTCGACCGGTGGTAAGTCAGTTTCCAGCCGGTCGTCTGCTCCCATGGTCCATGATGCAAGTGGATGTCCCTCATAGGGTTTAAGGCAACCGCAGTGAACGATTTTCAGTTAACTGCATGGTTTCCATTGTATTCTATATGTTACGTCCGACAACTTGGTCACTATAAGGAAAGGTCCTTCACATCGGCATGTCAACTTTGGTGATTTTCCCTTCTTCCTCGATGGGTTGTGCAACCACTTTCTGTTTTTGTCTCCTGGCACTCTTACTCAAGTGTCTTCTGGCCCTCTCGTGTGAGGCTCTAATCCTTTCCCTTACTGCCTGGGCATAGTCTTGTTCCTTTTCTGTATCATCTGAAGATGGTTGCCCCATGAAAGTCAATTGGTATGGATACCTCTCGGCCCATCAACAACAGGTTTGGAGTCTCACCTGTAGACTCCTGGGGAGTACTGCGATATGCGGCTGTCGCCAATGGTAACTCCTTGTCCCAGTCCTTAGGTTTCTCCTCGCTCCTTCACAAGGATTGCAACCATGCTTGTCAAACTCCGGTTAAAACGTTTGACTAGTCCGTCCGACCTGGATTGTAGGGCGTTGTTCTTGTTTTGGCTTTCCCTAGGACTCTACATACTTGTGCCATCAAGAGCAACTCCCCTGTGCCATCAAGAGTTTCTCCCCTGATCTGTGTGCAGGGTCCTTGGGGCCCCCAATCTGCACACAGAGTCTTGCACAAATCTCCTAGCTACAGTTTCTGCCTTCTCATCTGGCAGGTGGTATGCCTTCTCATCTGGCAGGTGGTAATCTCAGATGACCAAGACGTAGCGGTTGCCATTTCATGTTGTGGAAAACGGACCCATGATGTCCATTGCCACCCGTTCCGGGGGTTCGCCCACCAACTGTTGCTGCAAGGGTGCTCGACGCGTTTTGGAAGGAGACTTTCTCTGTGCATAGAGATCACATTGCCTTACAAAAGACCAGACATCAGCTGCTAAACCCTGCCAATAAAACCTCTCCCCACCCTGACGGTTGTCTTTTTCATCACAAGTTGTGCACTGAGCCTCCCTTCCTGGATTTCCTTAATGATCTCCTGACGTAACTCTTTTTGAACTATGGTCTTCCATTGAATGGCATTGCTGCTATTCGACTCCCATCAATGTCTCACTGGAGCCAGTAGTATTTGTGGTCAGCCGCCATGGATGAAACATCTTCCCAAGCCAGACGGGCACATCCCTGCTCCTTCAGTTATATTATCCACCCCATGGAACTATCCTTGAGTTGGGCTCATCGCCAGTCATCCTCACTTGTGCTTGGACTTATATCTACAATCCGAATATCTGATTGCTTTCCCTGCTGTACCTCTTGACTTTCCTTTCTCTTGAGTTGCCGATGGCTCGTCTTCCTGTTCAGAGCGGCAACGGGGCCCATCAACAATAGTTGAAGACTCCTCTCCATCCGGTATACCCGGGCTAACCATGCCACACTGAGG